TTTTATATCAAGAGAACATTTTTATTGTTATTTGTGGAGTGTGAATAATAATTTGCGGATATACAGTAATGCAATTATACAGACGAGAGAAATAAAATGAAGATGTTCCCTCACTGCCCATAATAGAAAATTTCACATTTAAAAGTGTATACACAGTTATGATTTAATAAAAAAATAAAATAAAGTAAAAGTGTGTCCCCAGGTACTTAAATCAACCGTGGAGGGCTTTTCTAATAATACCTACAGTGAAAAATATCTCATTGGAAGAAAATTCTCTAAATACCTATGCTAATTCAATATGTACATAATGAATAAGAAAGTTTTGATCCTTGAACTCCACATCCTTGATCAGATCTAGACAGCAATCAATGTGTTTTCAATTAAAAGGGTCTTTGGCCCAATTATCCAGTTCAGTAACAGGGCTTGAGGAATGCAAGATTAACTTATTTGTATAATGGTCAAGCATTAATAGTACCCAGGTTTGTTAATTATTTGATAAAATAAATTATGAAAAACAGTGACATTGAAATTTGCCTCTAATGCTTTGGTAAAATATTTGAGTCTGCTAAAGAGAAACCATACCTTAGTCAAGTCCTACAGGTGTTAAGTAAGAAAATGTCTGCTACAGCGAGAGATGAGGAAAGCTGTCTCCAGTAGTCTTATTTACTGGTACACTGGTGAAATGTTTTCTGTAGTCTTTAGAAGTTCACATTTGCTTAAATCTTCCTATCTAATCCTGAGCTTAACTGGAGTGTAAATTCCTTTCATTGTATCTATCTATCTATCTATCTAAGTATCAGTATACAGATATCCAGATATAGAAACACATATATATTTTAACCCAATTAAAAATAGTTATCATTTTTCAATTAGCTTGACTTTGTTTTTTACACCTAGAAAATACCAAAGAGAAATCAGAGCACAGGATTAAGTCCTTATTTTTTTTAATTACAATAGGTAATTTATGCATTAAGTATGTGTCTAAGAATTCTGAATGAAATCATAGCATTGTGAAATGTATTAGCTGTGGCTCACACTTGTCCAAGTGTATATAAGGTATACATAGTCTATGTTCCCAAACCGTTGATAATGACCCTACACCAAGTAATTTGGAACTTGTTAGGTAAAAGCTATTTTGCACAGGATTCTCTCCATTCTCTCCTTTCGGATTAGACAGCCCGCACCTGAGTTTCTGCTCAATGGGTAATTATTATCTCGTTATGGATGACTTATCACCAATTTTTCAAATGTCGAAAAAATAAATCTCAGATGCTACATAGATATTTGCTCTTATTTTTTCCATAAGATAAACAGGAAAGTAGAATGTGAGGCTGGGGAATTGTATATCTGAGTGTATTAAAGCTCAGGCCACACTTATCACATTGCACTAGAGGCAGCTGAATGGTATCCCAGCAGGTCCTTTATCTTTTCATTCTCTCTTCGTCTGTTTGTGCGTGGACTGTACCATCTGATGGATGTTGGGTTAGAAACATAACAACATTAAAAGAAAACCTGATACCAAACCCTTGCTCCAAATTGTAAGCAACTGCTCTCAGAACGGACATAACTTCTGCAGCCCCGTCTGAATGGTTCCCTCTTCCTAGGAGGCTACATGGAGAGTGAAGCTGCAGCTCAGGAGTCCCTGGGGCTGGGAAAACTCGGAACTCAAGCTGAAAAGGACAGAAGACTGAAGAAAAAGTAGGTTTGGAGATTGTATTTCCCTCTTTTCCTAACTCGTATTTATTCCTTATGGTTGTTTGTAGGGAATTACAAAGAGAGTAGATGGAGACCAAACAGCTAGGCCGAGGCCAGTGTCTGCCTGGTGCTACCGAAAACGACTCAATGCTCAGGTTTCCTGGTTATACCGAGTTTGAAAGTGTTTTCAGCCTGTCGTAGAAATAAAAAATTTCTTCTAAGTGACCTAAACACTTATTTAAAAGCTCAAGAATATTTAAAATGCTTCAATGTAGCATGAAAAATCATGCAAACCCCTATTTGAGGTTAAAGTCAAATTGAAGTGAAATCAATTAATGACGGAGTACACATCTAACCTTGGGTTTCCTCTCGTGATGATTTCAAGTGTCTGCTCTTTAAAGTGGAGTAAAGGAGAGACATTTCCCTGACTGACTGAACACAGGCTTATTTTAGACTCCCAGCAGATTGTTTGCATCTGTCAGGAAACTGAGAGTGTATCCTCTCATTCACATATAATACAGAACATTTAAGTGACTTGCAAAATTGGCAAATTTTGAGTCTCAGCAGCTGTCGGAAAGCAAGCAGGTCCATAAATAGCATATTTTAAAAATACATAGTAACATTTTCATTGACAAAATAGCACCTTTAGAACATGTTCTTTAAAGCAAAATACTTTGTTTTTTCCAGAATTTATTGGCTGGTTATTCCTTATCGTCCCTTTCAAATACGTATTACTTAGTGTTCATGCTATTCACGTTTTCCTTCTTTCCTATGAAAAAATAGTCCTGGTTCCAGTCATCGTTTTGTAACAGACAGGCTCTTGTGTTTCTAGTATACAATGTAATCAATTTTGCTTTCTCGCTTGCTTTGCCAGTGGTTACTAATAATGAGGAAATAAATATCTTGTTGCAGGACAGCTCACTAACCTACCTGGTCATTCATTTGCTGGTTATAAAAATTAGATCTATATCCAAATGCAGTAGAAATACTGTCTAAAAAAATGACCTTGAGGATATCTTCTCTTGAATACAATTAAATTCTGTCATATTCAACAACAAATATTTTTCTTTAGTTACCAGTCACTCAGAAATATATTTAAATGTTATTATAATCTGTTTCAAGTATCTTAAGTTTGTTTGTTCTATCAGGAATTTTGCATTCAATTTTGTGACTCTATTGAAAAAAATTCTAAAAATACTCTTCTTTGATACATGTTTTTAAAATTTTGTTTAGTCTTTTTCAACTCTAAAGAAATATGAATAATCAAAACCCAACCTGGCCAATGGACATGATTTATTTCCCTTAAAACTTAATTTTCATATCTCCTATAAGAAATATTTACAGGCTCGACGCCTATAGCTCAACCAGCTAAGGCACCAGCCACATACACCTAAGGTGGTGGGTTCGAATCCAACCCAGACCTGCCAAACAGCAATGACAGCTGCAACCAAAAAATAGCCGGGCATTGTGGCGGGCACCTGTGGTCCCAGCTACTTGGGAGGCGGAGGCAGGAGACTCGCTTGAGCCCAGGAGTTGGAGGTTGCTGTGAGCTGTAATGCCATGGCACTCTACCCAGGGGGACAGCTTGAGGCTCTGTCTCAAAAAAAAAAAAAAAAAGGAAAAGAAATATTTACAAAGAATAGCAATCTGGCCACCTTTCATAAGTGCATATAAGGTTGGTAACTGAGGCAGTACAATGGGTTACTTATAGGACCAAGTTAAATATACTTTCAATAGCTACTAAATTTAAACATTCCAATTATATAATGATTTAAAATACTATATTTAAAAATTAACTATTACTAACTTCATGCACTAATGGAGTGATTTAATTTTAAAGGATTATTTCTAAGTACCCTCTTAGTGATAAACAGATTTTAATTCTGTATTTATTACTCAAGTCTTACCACGCTTGACTTTGTGTTTTAATTTGCAGTGTTTTGGTAAAAGATAATTGTAAAATGTATTAAGTGGACAACTTATCTTTAATACTAAAAAGAATATTAAGAACATCTTCTAAGACAATAATGACTAGCATTTCCCAGAACAATTGTTTTCTGTGGAATAATAGTATTTGAGTTCAAACGGATAAACAGAGCAAATCTAAGTTAACTAATGAAAGTACAAAAGCGTTTCTAATATTATTAGTTATCCCATAGGGAGAACCCTATGAGCATAAATATGCAACCAGTGTTCATGAGACTTTTATGAGTAATTGCTAACATGTTTTCAGGCCTCCCTTGACACTCTCACGAGAAAGTGAAGTGTCTTCATGCATGAGTTTTATTAGATAGACAAGATAGATTACTTTTAGTTTGTATGGTTTCCCAACTTATTTCTGTCAAATTTTATGTTATTGCTAATTATTTTTAAAAATTGTCAGCTTGTTTCTGAATTGTCTCAAATGTTTTAAAATTTCTTTTCAAAGACGTCACATACTCTTTAGTGTACTTTAGAGAATTACCGTCCTCTATGTTCAAATTTCATGGTTAGCAGTCTTCTTTCAATATGAAAAAATTCAAGTGCGTTTCCTTTAAAAAAGCAAAAACTAAGAATGGAGGAACCTCTTCCAAAATATTGAATATCATAGGTTGTCCGTGAAAAATTGTAATCACTGTGATTTTCTGTCAGGTGTTTCTACATTTTTATCCATTGACCAAGCAAAATGATGTTTTCAGGACATAGTGCTTAGATTTAAGTGCACTATCTCAAAGTTCATACCAGAGATTCATTAGTCTCTGCGGGAATAAGAAGATCAAGAAGAAATGTTATTTGCAGTTTTGCCAATATAGCGGCAATTTAGCATTAACATTCTATGATTTTTAAAATTAATTGGGAGAAATCTCTAGAAAAGTTCATTTATGGCACATTCGAAAAAAGCCTTATGGGGGAGTTATGTTCAGAGCGGTTCATTTGAGAAGTTACAAATTCTTGCAAACATCATAGATTATGATGTTGGCAGTCCCAAAGGTCTAATGTGAGGTATATTTATAATCAGGCAGCTTGGAACAACTTGTAAGATCTGTGCCTCTACCTTAATTCTACTTTTTCTTGGCTTCCTGGTGCAGTCAAATCTTTTCCTTGTATTTCTTAACCATTGTCTCATGAAGATAAATAGGAAACCAACTATACTTGATCTGCTCAAGCCCTCAATAGTCAACAAAATCTTTCCAATCTTTACCTTCCTGAATTTTAACACAGAGATGTCATTCTTTTGCTAGAGCAACACCTAACTGAGGCCTAAAGTCAATCTGTTCTTATTCTACCTGGTTTTCTTTCACTACACCCCATCTCTGCTCTACTTTCCTCTAAAGCATCAATTCCACCAATTTCTTCAGCAAGTCTATACAGAGCACAGCTAATATATGCTCTAAGGTAATCGTGTCAAACTGAATCTCACCTAGTAATTGTCTGAATGCTTCCCATTCATTGCCTTGGTCAGCTGGATTTGAGCAGCTGTTCTGTGCCCTCCTGGTGTAGCTCCCCTAATTTTTGAGAGCTGAGTCACTTATTCTCAACATTTAGTTTCCACATGATTGAATTTCTTCGTAGTTTTTTCACGGTGGGCTCCGTCTGGGGGTGCTGTGACTCTCTCAGACTTCATCTAGCATCTCTTGCTTGATTTCAATGGATTCCAGGCACCTTTTCTTATTTAACGACAATAAACATCTTCCCTGTTTTCTAATAGTCACGTTAAGAGCAACGAGACCTGAGAATTTCACTCTCTTCTTTCATGCCTGTTATAACTGTTCTTATCTTTAAGAACTTATTTCTCATTTTTAGCTCTCTCCTCCAAGCTTTAAGCTAAAACCTACTGGTTTTAGGATAGCCTTTTAAAGCCAACCACATAACTATTGTATATCTATATATCTATATCTCTATCATCTATATCTATCTATCTTTCTGTCTTTTCCTATCTATCCATCCTGCATGGAATAATAAGAGTTACTGCAAGACCAAAATCCTACATGGGCTGGTCAACAAAAACTTCCATTTTCAAATGTGGGCAACTCTCCAAATTTTACTTAGAATCTATACTTAGGGCCCAGTAAATAGAAACTTTCCTCCTTGTCTAAGTTCAGAATCTATTTGTTGACAAAGGAGTCAAACAACCAGAAATCAAAATGTCAGCCTCTATGCCAATAAAGCTGGTAAAACGGGGCTTAGTTATGTGGCAAAACCAGAATAAAACAAAAACCCACAAATAGTTAAATTTACCTGAATCAGAATGAGCTAGGTAGTCACAGGTTTTCAAGGTGCATAGGGATAAACCCCACATCACATGAAAAATACATTTACAATGTGTTTTACAATTTGATGAATGTTACTATGGAATTAAGAACTATGAATTCACAAGAAAAGAAATAAAATTTTATATCATTAGAATTCTCGTCTGAAGAAGAGTTTTTGAAGCATCAATGTTAATAGTATTTTTATTAATTTCTCATCATATTCCTTAACTCTTTTTCCGTCTGGAATATTCTTAGTTGCCACTTTTTCATAACTCTAGAAATGTGATGATAGGGTAAGTGGCAAATTCACTGAGTTATTAAAGACCAGAAAATATCTCTTAAAAGTAAAATTAGTCGATAAATTCCTAAAGAGTAGAATTAATGGTTATAAATGATTTTCCCTCAGAACTTTGAAGTTACTTCTCTTCTTGCCCCTAGTTACATCAAGTGACTGGTACCCTTATGTATACTACATGTAAAATTTATTTTTTCTCTGTATTTCAGAAAGATCTAAGATGATTTTGCTTTAGCCTTGGGGTTCAGAAATGCCGTAGTATGAGTCTATACTAATTTGTCATGTTTCATCTTACTTTGTATTTTCAGTCTGAAGGCTTGTTAGAATAAACTTCTAATATGTGCTGCCCCCAAGGATTCACAATTCCAGACTCCACTTTGATTCCAAGAAGTTTAATTTTGTCGAGACTTCCAGAATTCAAAACAAGGCAATTTCTGTAGCAATTCATCTGTGTAACTCTCAAGAAAGTCCTGAAT